TAAATACTTGTAACAGGAGAGCCTTCTTTCTTCAGTAACCATCCCTAAAATAGATAAAGTTAGTACTCCTTTAAGGAACAAGAGCTAATTTCAGTCTCATCATTATTCATGTAATACTCTCTCTCATTTTTGATGAGGAAGGATATCCTCTTAAATGAGTTTTGAATCTCTGTGAGTATTTTCCTGTTAAATACGGCAGTCTGAGCAAGTAACCCAAATTCCTAATTCTTCTTGTGTGGCATTTTCGTATAACATCTTGATAATGAGTTTTTTTCTTTTAACTGTGGCTTTGATTTATGGCATACTCAGTGTGACTAAGAATGTTAATTAATTCTGACTTGATCAAATATACATGTGTGACTCACATACTGTATCTAAATTTAAAGCAACTATAAACCACATTGCAATACTCATGTAAATCTTTGGCATTTCTTTGATGCATACAGTTAGAGATGGACTGAACTGATACTGAAAAGTTCACTTGACTGAATATGAGGATGCCTTTTGTTTCTAAATTAAGCACGTCGAAAGGCTTAATTTAAATTATATATATTTGATTCACATACAGTAGACAAGAATATAAAGTAGATTAATATTTAGTTAGGAATAGGATAGGAATGTTGATTTGTGTGCTGCCTGTACTGCTCTTGATTTTTGGAACAATACTAATCCATAAAACCAGGGAATGCAGATTAAATCAGGCCTGTTTTGATAGAAAGTCTATTTTAATGTGAAAGAAAAAAAGAGGAAGATTGTAATTATGAAGGATTACCTTTTGTCTGCAATCGTTTTGTAGTGACTATTACATAGAAATAAACAGCAGAGCCCATAATACGTGTCTGATGCAAATGGAGTGCTGGTAAGAAACTGGCTTTTATTTCCTGGCCCCAGTCACATGATCTGGGTCAATACCCCGTCATGCAATAGGGGTCAGTATGCACTTCCATGGCTACTGTTATTTCAGTTTTATAGTGTTTGTATCAAGAGGACTTCCCCGGCAAGATTTGGACAAAAGTAATTAGCTGTGAGTCACACACACGGACTGGAAACTTGATTTACAGGCACAAGCTCTTTATTATTCTTATTTATTATTTGTATTACCATAGCACCTAGGAGCCTTTGTCATAGACTTTGTAAATACTATTTTAATTGTGTAAGTGTTGCACAACCTTACTTTGACCCTAGATGTCTGATCTGCAACCAATACTATTAATAAAGTTTCATGCAACAATATAAAAACATTTAAGAAAAATCTGACTAAACCTGTATTTTCCCTTATGTTTCTTTGCCTCTTAAACAATCCTTTACATAGCATTTGAACAGAAAAATTAACCCCTCACCTTATTTATTTCTAGGGAAAAGCTGTTACAACCATTTCTAGTGTTCCAACTTGCAGTGATCCTGGGATTTTAGATCTGAGTTTATGAGACAGATATGAATTTGGTGGTTTCAGGTTTCTTTGTTTGTGGTAACTAAATGCTAAAAAACCCTGTCCTACTAAAGAAGAAATTCTGAAAGTAGGCTTGTGCAGCATGGTATAAGTCATGCTAAGAGTGTGGCTCATTGTCCTTTGTGCCTGTAGTAGCTTGACCACACAGAGGGTTTAGTTCACTACTGCCTATGAACTCATGGACCTGGTTGTTTAGCAGTAGAGGCTCATGTTTTTAGATGCAAGTCACAGGTCCCACCAAGGCTGAACCATTTCAATGGCATAAGTCAGATGGCATTAGGTTGAATTTGAAAAGGCCTCTATAGATATGTCTACATGGCAATAAAAGACCCATGGCAGAGTCCCAAAGCCCAGGTCAGCTGACTAAGGTTTTTCAGGCTGGGCTGTGGGGCTCAAAATAGCAGTATAGGTGTTCGGACTCAGGCTGGCTGGAGCTAGGCTCTAAAATGCTCCCCCCTGGCAGGTTCTCAGAGCCTGGACTCCAGCCCGAGTCCGAACATCTATACTGCTATTTTTAGCACCACCACCCAAGCCCTGCGAGCCCAAATCAGCTGACCCAGACTCAGACTCACTGTCACAGATTTTTTTTTAATGAAGTGTAGCTACACCCTCTATGATCCAAGTGTTGTTTTAGGCTGATGACTGAGATCCATCTTTATCTGCTGATAAATCTGAAGGACTACTATATTTTGCTGTATTTAGAAATTCCAGAACTTCATCTGTTTTTGGTAGGAGATATTTGTCTTTAATTGCAATGTCACTCAATTTTCCACAGAAGCTAGATTCTCAGTTTGGCTTCAGGGACTCATGGCACTTCAGATCATTCCGTTATTTCATCAACCAATGCTCTAGTTGTTCACCCATCATTTTCCATATGACTAGATGATCTTTGGTCATTTTGATCCTTCTGTGATGCTATGGGGTCAACCTGAAGTTTTTCAATGGTGTGCATTGCAATTTTTGTTTGACATATTTTATCATTACAAATATTCTAAAATTTTTGAAGCTGTGGTAACAATTTCATGTCCATATCCTCATTAACAGATTCAATAATCAACTTCTTTTGGATTAACTTCCTTCCAGCTGAATTATGTATCTTCCTATTATTATCTGTTTGGTTATTTGTAGAGCCATTAAATAATGGTGAAACATTTCTCAAAATTTCATATTAATATTTTTATGTGTAATTTCAAACAGAGTGAGTAAAAACTTATTTAATATAGCTGTCTCTATTTAAATCTTATTTTAATTTTGTTTCCCCAGACCCCTGTTATAGGACTAGTACACTGTTATATTACAAATCTTGAATGAAATATACCTGTACTTCTAAGAGTCACCAGCATAGTATAAGTCACCTGCATTTGCTAATAACCACCATGTGTCTGGCACTGCTATATGTGTTTTTATTTCAATGTTAATATGGGTGCTTTCAAAACTTCCTTCAGTTCTCTCTAATTAAATATTTCCTTGTTTTTACTTTAGTCAGCTTAGCTCCTTTTATTCCAAAGATTTTTTCTTTACATTTTTGTTCAGGTACCATTTTGTAAGTGAGCATTGATTACAATGGAGAAGCAAACTGATCTGAATTAGTTAGGGCTCCAGAGGAGCTGAATATTTATTTTGGCTAAAATGGTCCTTCAACAACAGAGGCCAGACAAAAAAATTCTACTTTTCCTTTAGTCCCAACTATTATCTTCTTGCTTGTTCTTTCATTCTCCTTCCCCACATGTTTTGCAGCCTCCTCCTATTCTTCCTTCCCTCGTTCTCATACGGTTTCCAACTCCCTTATACCTGATCACCAAGGCCCCATCTTGCAAAGAGTTCAGTGTGGGTAGACACCAGAGCCCATGAGGAGCACTGTTGACTTCTTGGCAAAATCTGGGCTCCAATCATGATATACGAGGGTGGGGTAAAGGGTGGAGGTGGGGTTGATGGATGGGACAGGCCTTCTATAGAAAAGGAAGGGGAAGGACTGACAGAGAAGGGGCTTTTAGGAGCAGCGAAGGGATGTGAGATGATTGTAACCTCTTCTGGGCAGAGGTTTTATACATGTCTTTATATGTGTTTGTATGACACCCAGGGCCGGCTCCAGGCACCAGCCAACCAAGCACGTGCTTGGGGCCGCACCTTGTAAGGGCCGGCCAGCCAATCTTGTGGTGGCGGTGCGGCGTTCAGATTTGTTTGTTTGTTTGGGTTCGGCGGGGCGGTGCTCGGGTTTTTTTGTTGTTTTTGGTTCGGCGGGGCAGCACTCGGGGCGGGGGTTGGTTTTGGTTCGGCGGGGCGGCGCTGGGGGGGGGGGGGGGTTGTTCAGCGGGGTGGCGCTGTGGGGGGTTGTTACGGCAGGGCGTTTGTTTTGTTTTGTTTTTGTTTTGCTTGGGGCGGCAAAAAAAGTTAGAGCCAGCCCTGATGACACCTAGCACAGGCAAGCCCCGATTCTGACGGGGGCCTCTGGGTGCAATGATAGTATAAATAATACAAAATAATAAAAGGTGGATGCAAGGCTTATATAAGCTTCAGATAAATATCCAGATTTTAGATGCTGATCCAAACTGAACTGACCTGCCAGGCCATATCAGCTTTGTCCTTCTCTTTCCTGCCAAAAAGGAAAGTGAAGCAGCTATATGCACAAAAAGAAGAAATGCCTTTTAAACAGGAAAATGAAATGCACTCTAGCCACCTCCCAACTCTGAAAAAGATCCATTCTCAATAATTCATTCAGTTTTTGTACATATTATTTAATAGTAAAACTTTACCTATCATGTGCTGCTTTGCTTTTTTCATTAAAGCAAATTACATAGTGTTTCTATTAGTTACGGGAAGTTATATGATGGTTCCCCTTGCCCCTAAGGAATATGGGGATAAAACCTGTCACTACTCAGAATTGGATTTTATTAGTTTTAATGCATCACAGACACTTTCATTATAGATGGGGCTTGACTGATAGCACTGACAGGACTCATCTATGCTACAAATATAACTGAATCATGGGACCAAAGTACAAACACAGATGATTCAAGATTTTAACCCATGAATGTCTGAAGACATGGCCAGGTTGCACCTACTCTACACATTTTAACCGTGCTGTAGCTGGGTTATTGGACAGCTGTGTTATAACTGATGCCCTGAGTTGGTTTTATTTGTAGGGCAGACAGGGCCTTAGTCACACCATAGCACAGTCTTTTATTCATACAGTTTTCTTGGGAAGCTGGAGAATAGCAATGAATTAAATATGAGGGAAAGATTCAAGTTGAGCTTCCATTCAAGAAGAATATCCTTTCGCATTATATCAATAGTTCTTAAAGCCATTAGAAAAATGGGTTGCAAAGGGTTTATATTTTCATAAAGTAAGTTTAGTTAAAGATGGTGTTTTTTGCTTAAAAAAAACAAACAAACCTGAAGGACTTTAAAGAGCCTGGTTACAAAAGGGCAGGTTAGCACAGAGAACCTTTCTCATCTGAACATAGAATAGGATTTATTAATTAGTAATTATTCTTGTAAAGGATGGATTCATCCTGACAGCAGCAATGAAAAATTCATGACAGAGACTTACCATTTCTAATCAGCTCTGTTTCTATGTGGAGACTGCCAAACTTTGGAGACCAGGCAGTGCTAGGAACACAAACAAACATCATAGTTTCCATAGTAACTGAGATCACCTTGGAGATGATTAATACCAGTATGACTTACAATGGGTATTCCAAAGATATCATCCTTTGCTGATTTAAGCATGATCCAATATAATGTCATTTAACATCTTAGTGAAGAAAAAGGAATCTGTATCTCTGAAGTATTTTCTCTTATTCGTTAGGGGTAGGGTCCCAGAGGGAAATGCTCACTATCTGCTTCTATTCTATTTCTTGCTAGCAAAATAAAAAAACAACATATATGGCCATGGCATATGAGCTATAAGAACACAGATCAAGTGGATACTTTATAGGAATGGTAGGTAATTTCCTTAAAGAAAAATACCGTAAAAGCATGAATTACTCATCCACTGTATGAAGAGCCATGCAAAACAACCACTGAAATATTTCATGCTTTAGAGGAACACATGAACTGGTAAAAGGAGAATTTTTGCCATTCTGTGAGAAACACTGTTTGTATGACAAAATAATGGATACATTCTGGTTGGAAACAAATCCAGTTTCCAAGTTTTTTGCCCAAGGTGAAATTTTGCCATCTTCACCAAAGCCATGTTGTGGAAAATCAGAACAAAGACAAAAATCCCACTTGTCGTGGATGTTGTCAGAAAGGAACCTGCATTGTCTAGGAACTAGCACAGGCCTAGGAACAGAAAGGTGTGGATTCTGTTCTTGATTTCCATTGTGTCATTAGCTTAACTTCTCAGTTGCTTGGTAAAAAGTAGATAATACTACTTATGTTTCACCAGTTAATTACTATTTCTAAAGCACTTGGATAGAAGGTACTAGAGAAGTACAAAATAATAATTTTATTATTTTCATTAAACTAGCATAAAATTTGATTTTCACTGAATTTGTCATTGGTGTGAATTTTTTCACATATTCTATAGTATATAAGTTTCAGAGTGGATAAATTCCTGTTACATTCATCCCTTTCACTAACACAGCTGTTGATCTGAAGAGCTGGGGGTGGAACCTATATGCAGTGTGAGAGGAGATTTGCAGAAAATTAGGTCCAGATTTTCTTCTCACATACCAGTGTAAAACTGGAGTCATTCCATTCGCTTTAGTGGAATTACTCTGATTTAACACTAGTGTAATTAGCCAATACTTTGCTCTATATCTGAGGCTGTATTTGAACATTTTTAGTTAATTCAAGTGCTTCAGTTATAACTCAAAGCATACAACAGATTCTCTATTCATTTTCTTATTCTCAACTATTTCAAAAGGAACAGTATTAGGTACATTGTTTATTAACTTGTAATTGTGAAGTATTACTTTTTCTTAGTCATGATAAATATAATAAATCATTTAAAAGCTTCTACACAAAATACTAGAAGTCAAGAGATTCTGTTCAAGAAGTCTATTCTCAATTCTGTCTCAAATTTCCAGTGACAAATCACAAACAATCTCTGTTTTAAATCAATGGGAGCTATAGGTGTCGCCCCCCTGAAAATCAGGCCATGAGTGTTTCAAGTTCACTACCCAAATTAATGTACCCTTTAGACAATTTTGAACTTTCTTCTCTCCCCCCGCTTTGGTAAAATGTGTACAATGCTACTTTTTTGTTGTACCTCCCGTTAATATTTTGATGCTTATTTCATTAATCTTTATATCAGTCTTTAGGAATCCGTGGATGTGTTCCTCACAAGCGCCAAGCAGTACTGTATGATTTGATATAAACAGTCTTTTGACTCAGAGAGTCAAACACAATTTTTGAGCCTATTTCTGATTTTGGACAGTATGCTGAAAAAGTGATACCATATGACACACCAGAAGTAGCCAAAAGTGGCAAACACATTCGTATCCTACTTCATTATTGGTTTAACAATCAAACTACAGACTAGGGCCTTGATCTGACAAACACTTAGGCACATGCTTAGCTTCGCTGTCATGAATAGTTTCATTGATTTCAATAAGACTACTCATGGTAGTAAAATATAACACATGCGTAAGTGTTCCTAATCTAGTCTATAAGGGTTCTTATGCTGTGCTTATCACTGTAATATCTGAGTGCTAGATGTCTGCAGGATTGCGTGCTTAATGTTGAAACATAGAACTTTTTAATCAAGCTATTAACTAGCAAAATATAGGCTTCCCACCCCACTTCCCCCCCCCCATATGCAATCAGTGCAAGTTTGAGCACAAATAGTCACCTTTTAACAGAGAGCTAGCAATAGAGTTGAAAATGCCAATTGGAATTTAAAGGATTTCACAGTTTACAGACTTCACAGAAAATTATTTAGATCATATAAGCTTCAGAATACATACTAACAAAAATAAGAGCAATTTCCTTTCCTTTCAAAGCACCATAATGTGACTTTCCACCCTCCCTCTGTATGCAGATAGACTCCTGACTTAGCAAAGCCACTGTAGCAATAGATAGAGACAATCCTTAGAAAAGTTTTGAATTTGTATTAATTTAGCATGCATTAATATGCTAATAATGAAGAGCTTTGTATAGTTTTCAGCTGCCCTACTGTGCTGACTGACAAGAACAGATTTGCTTTTCTTCTGGGGTGATTTTGGGGGGGGGGATTTTTTTGGATTAATTATGCTAAGGTGTCTGAAATAACACAGAAAAGTTCAGAAATTCAATCATATTTTCCTGATATTTCTTCAGAAATGGCATTACCCTCACAGTAATCCAAGTGGGATATGTAATATTAAAAAAAAAAATCAAGGCTTTTTCTTATCTCAGTGCAGCAAATATTATGTGTTTTATGTTTCTTAATGCCTCCTTAGAATTCAGATCAGTGATAGATATGTAATACAGGAAACAACTTGTTGAATTACATTTATGATAAAAAAGAGAAGGAAAGCTGCTTAAACAAATTTCTCCATATGTCTATATAAAAGAAAAAAATCCATCAACGATCGCTGAGTTCCTTCCATTTGAGAAGGATTCGCCAGACAAAAAATGAAATATTTTTTAAAAAGATCAATGAACTAGATTTGTTTATATTATTTCCCTTGTTTATATGCTAAACAGACTAGGAACAGATCCCTCAACCAACTTCATGCAGGCAGTTCCCAATTGCCTTTAAGGGGAATTCACATGAGTGCAGGGGGCCACTCAGGCAGACTCTCACTGAAATCAATGGAGTTCCACTAATGTTGGAGACACTGCAGGATTTCAGCCTAACCAGTTTGCCTGTGTCTCTTGATTTAATCATAAAGCAGTGTACTGTATCTGCGGAATATGCTATAGCTTTGTTAAGCACAGTAGGCTGGGATACTTCACCTCCAAAAATTCATTTGTACAATTACTTTTCACTGACAAATTACTTACTTGAAGTCTCTTTTGAGAGAAAATTTGGTCCTCTGAGGCTGTGCTACATTTTGTCTCATTGTTATTGAAAATTACTGCAATAACAATATATTATTTTGTTTCCAACTATTGGCAACAACTGAGATTTTTTATGCAGTGGTGATGCTGCCTCATTCAGGAACATTATTATTTATTATTTGTATTGCTTTAGTTCTAGGAGCTCTGGTCATGGACCAGGACATCTTTGTGTTAGGTGCTGTACAAACAGAGAGGTATATTGTGTGTAATACATTAATATTTACAAATTGATAGGTTCTACTATTTGAGTTTTTGACAATACTTTGCACTTCTACAGCTCCTTTCATCTATGGATTTCAAAGGGCTTTACATAAAAACATGAATTTAACTAAGCTCCATGACACCATCGTCAGATAAATAAGTATTATTTTGCTGATAGGAAAATAGTCTGAAAGAAATTAATAGACTGACTTTTCAGAGGTACACCCACAGCACCAGTTGAAACCAATAGGATCTCACAGATTATCAGTGACAGAGCACTGATTGTAAATCTCCTGCTCCACCCACACTCAATCACAGCTCTGCAACAGCAAATAGACCCTGGCCAGTTACTCAGGCCCATAACTTGGGCATCATCTTCAAATCTGACCTCTGTCTAGATCAGAGATCGGCTCAAACTAGCTACGGGAATAAAAGGAAACAAGAAGACTTTTATCAATACATTAGAAGCAAGAGGAAGACCAAAGACAGGGTAGGCCCACTGCTTAGTGAAGAGGGAGAAACAGTAACAGGAAACTTGGAAATGGCAGAGATGCTTAATGACTTCTTTGTTTCAGTCTTCGCCGATAAGTCTGAAGCAATGCATGGGAAACTGAATGCTAATGGGAAGGGGGTGGGTTTAGCC